TATACACTATATACTATTTATGTATTATTTGGTGGGTATAAATTTAACATTGTTACATCTTTTTGGTGAATTGACTTTTTCTTACTATTGTGAAATATCTCTCTTGTTGGTCTACTACTGCTTTCCCTTAAAATTCTCTGTGTCTGTTAACAGTATAGTTATACCAGCTCTCTTTTTCTTGATGTTTACTACATGGTATATCTTTTTCATCTTTTTTTGCTCCTCTACTTTCAACTTTTATATATTTAAAATCTATAGTTGTTTTTAAACCCAGCCTAATAATTTTTGTGTTATAATTGGAGTGTTTACTCCATTTATAATTGATGCAGTTACGTACACATTTAGGTGTAGATTGACTAATGTACTCTCTTTTATTCTCATTATTCTTTCTCTTTATTAACTTGTTACTTACAGATTTATTTATTTTTGTTTTAGTGACAATAATCCTTGAGTTGGCAGCAAACATCCATGACCTATTAAATCCTGCATTAACTTAACTTTCATGCTTCCTAGATAATGCTAGGACTTTGGACACTTTAAGTGCACTTAACCTTTTTGCATTATTGTAACATATATTTCAATTTGCCATGTATTTTAGACCTCATAAAGCATTATCATTTCATATATAAATACATATATTTAAGTATATAGTTTAAAATGTAAAAAATAAGGTTTTACAATACTCTCAGACATTATGATCGAATTATTGTGATACAAATTTGGTGACCCAGAGGTTGTTAAAACTCCTGGGATTAAAAATCCACAGTAGGATTTCTAACATTTGTTCATGAAGTAGTGAATGTCTCCGTTGCAGTATAATTGAATATATTTGAGATGAACACAATAAATGCAGTTTAAATTGGATTACAATTTTTAATTCATTTTACCTGCCATGTTGTTTAAATACTATTAGGGACAGTGGTGACAGGGACGATGGGATATCAGGGACGACTCTATTACTGTTAATTCAGGAGACCAAGGGTGAATTCTGAAAATGATGCTTTATGATGCTATATGCATTGCTTTGAAAATAGTTCCAGTGATTTTTATTTTGAAAAACAATTTTTTTAAAATTGAGTACTAATAGGAAGGTAACTATGAACTGGAGAAATATCTTATGAGAAGTTATATTCATTCATTAAAACTGTATTCCAGGAGACAAATGTTAAGATATTCTTTGCTAAAAATGATTTTTTTGACCAAATAAGTTCAGAAAGTAGTGAGTTAATAAAATTAAACATATTTCTTTTACTCTAAATAGTTGAATCTTTAATATGGTAATTAGTATGCATTTTCAGTCTGGTTAAATGAGGACTACAACATGCACTATTTTCCACAATTCAACATTTGCATTATTAGAAAGTTAATTTATTTTCAACAGAACGTGAGGTTATTGAAAACTAAAGCACATAACAATATTTGATGTACTTTGCTTTTTAATTTGACCTTCTATACTGGAATTAATTTCATTGATATTAAATTAGGTCTTTAATAAATGAAGTTTACTGAAGTAGAGGCTCCTTTACATTGCTCTGTGCATTTATCTTTTATTTATTCCCTTTTATTTGGTTACTCTGTTTTAGAGATATTTGTGACATGCTTAATTAGGAAGTGCAAAATTATGAAGTTAGCTAATATTATATTTTAAAATAAAATTTTGAGTAGTACTAATTTTTGAGAGACTTAAAAAATAATAAGTAGGTTGAGTTTACCTGAAAAAGCTCTTGGCAGGTAAATAACAAAAATAATAAATTTCAAGGGCTAATGTGACTTTCTTTTTAAAAACTCTGACATTTCCTTTTCATGATTTTCCACATGGAGATCAAGCTCTTTCTCTGGTATATTATGGTATAGCTTTTCAAAGTGAAAGAAAATTAGACTTTGTTACCATTAGAGTTAGCATTCATGTGACTAATATCTTTAAGACATTGTGTGTGCAAAGTATTATAATGGAAATCAAGAATAATGAATCATTTCTTTTAAAAATATAATTGCTTTTTAATTAACAACCTTTCTTTTAAACCCAAAGATAAACAAAAGGAAAAATAATATCTGATAGCTATATGGAGAACTTCCTGTAGACATGCTGTCATTTGAAAAGACTATTTTCAAAGCTGAGTTCTTGTAGCTTATGTTGCAAAGAGTGTGATTGGCAGAAACTCAGGATAAGAAGTGTATTGTTTTAAATACATAAAACGAAGATGCCACCATTTAAGTAGCATCTTTCTCTTGCTTCACCTCATGCTTATTTAGGAACAAAAAAATTAAACACTTTAAGAACTAACCTGCTTTCTCTTTTAGAAGGAAAATTTGACATCTCTTGAATCACTAGCTCTTTCTAATTCTGGAGAGGAAAACATCTTTTGATAAGAATTTCTTTTTGGCCTAGAATTGTTTGTGAATTGTTCTTCTTGTTTAAGTATCACATAAATTGCAATAACCCACATGGTTTAGATGGTACCACATTCCAATCCTACTTCCTTATTTGAATATTAGCATCATGAAAATAAAGTACATGTCCATAAGGAGAGGTAGCATAGCCTATTTTAATGGAAAAGATTTAGAATGATCTGAGAGCTCATGTTTAATCTTCTCTTTATTATTGTGGATAGAATACCTATTTCTTATCTCTGTGTCAGGCAGGGACTCTGGAAGCCTTATATGAATAATAAATGTGAAACTATTTGCACTTATTATTGATGTTACTCTTTTATTTAGGAATATATAGATTCCAAAGAACTTTATAGTTTTCTTTGTTTCCTATACTCTTTGTTCTCTCTATTCTAAAAGTTAGTTTATTTAGTGTTCTTCCTGCATCACCAAGCATAGTGCCTTGCACACAGTAGTATTTCTAACATTTGTTCATGAAGTAGTGAATGTCTCCATTGCAGTATAATTGAATATATTTGAGATGAACACAATAAATGCAGTTTAAATTGGATTATAATTTTTAATTCATTTTACCTGCCGTGTTGTTTAAATACTGTTAATAAAATGTTGACACATTTGGACTTCTATCGTTATTATCTGGCATAGCATCAGGACTGCCTCAGAGTTTGTTTTAGCATCATCATATTGCTAAACAAAGCCCTGCAGTTATGACTTTTATTTGGCACAATTTCCTACCTATTTCAGAAGGATAAAGTATAATTTATACTAGTTGTTTTTCCCTAAGCTTCATAACACTTATTTAAACGTTGTGTTATATCCCAATGAGCCTAAAAGACTCCATTCATTCTGCTCTTTGGCTGGCATGCCACTTACTCATAGATTCATTGACTATGATTGATTATAAACTGCCTGTGAGACCCACTTACGTGGATTGGTCATTTGTTAGAGTTTAAATGAGTCACAATTCCCTCTGCTGTTGGAGTTTACAACGTGTAATAAGGTGTTTTTAATGACTTTCACTGCAAAATACACTCCTTTTATCTGTAGGCCAGCTTGGTTTAAGTCTCTGTTTGTTGGACACTACCCTAAAGAAAACTTTTGTCCCCCATTATACTTTGTTTTCCATGAAACCATATCCTAGAATATTTTAAAAGCCAGAGGGCAAACTAATTATGCCCCCATAAAATATTTTCACAAAAATAAACAAAATATTCTACATCAGCCTTTTCACCAAAATTACCTTTTAGATGTTCTGCATCCCTGATAAATTTAAAAACGCACAACAGACATCGTCATTATAGATAGTTGTGTACTTGGCCTGATTGTGAATTTCTAAAGAAAAGGGATAAATCCACGGTTTACGTCATCTTTGCTACTCAGCATCAGCATGGTGCTTTGTACTTAATGCGTAGCCACAGGTTTTGTCAAAGGGAATTGTCCTCATACTTGTATAAAAGATTTATGAAAAGTCTTACTAGTGAATGCTCCACAAAGGTCTTTGGTAGACTGTTACCTAAAACCAAAAAAATCAAGAGCAGTAGCTAAGCTGTCAAATAATTATCAGGGGGTGGGGTCAAAGATCAAGTTTAAAGCATTAGGACTTTCATTGGAAACTATATTTTCAGTTTGGGGAAAACTGAGTATGTGGAGTTTTGTCCAAGTATGTCTACCCTTTCAAAACAATATCAAAATTACAGTGCCTAGGATTCCTGAAATCAAATTTTGTTCAGACCAAGGTCATCGAATCTGCTAAGTTTCTGGTCAAAAAGAATAATGGGAAAGTGAACCAGCATTGATTTTATGCTGCTCTGTGTGGGAGGCTGTGCTAGGTGCCTTGCATAATTTATCTCATTTCATCTTGACCATAATCAATATCAGGCCTTCTAGCTCTCAGTTCAGAAGAGAGGTTAAGTAATTTGTCCAAGGTTATATAACGAGTAGGAGAAACAGCCAAAATTTGAACTCACTTGTGGGTGATAGCAAAGCCTATGCTATTTAATTACCCATTCTCTGATTCAGGTTCTTTTACTATTAATTAATAACTAGATTTGGTTGTTAAATCATAAATATTTTATATAGGTGAACTCGTAAGATTTAGTGTAAAGAATACCAAAGTAAAAGCTTTTTTGTCATTTGTTATACTGGAAAATAAATAATTATTAAGACATTTTAACATCAGTTGGATGCACAGAAAGGATCAATCTGTAAAGAAGTCTGAGGTCAATATAAATCCTACTGATTTCTCTTAACTTTGCTTTGGATAACCACATGTTCCTGTGTCTGTGCTATTGGCAAATGGAAGTACCCAACTCATTCTGATTTTCTCTGGAAATGAATCCAGAGAGAAAATAAGAGCCTCCTCTACTCTTCTGTCTCCTTAGGCACTCAAAAGCAGGTTACTGTTGTTAAAAATCGATTGCATCACTGTTGAAGTCTCAATTTAGAACAATGTAAGTTGATCTTTTGCTTACTGATTGCCTCATTAGGGAGAACCCATTCTTCCAAGGGGGCGGGGGGAAGACAGGTCTCTCATATTTACATATTATCCAGAAACCTTTACTTCCCACAACTTCTATTCTTAAACAATTTTAGCTATCAATAATAATTACTGGGGAGCCTGGGTGGCTCAGTTGATTAAGTGTCTAATTCTTGGTTTCAGCTCAGGTTGTGATCTCAGGGTCATGGGATTGAGCCCCAAGTTGGGCTCCCTGCTCAGTGCGGAGTCAGCTCCAGATGCTCTCTCCCTTTCCCTCTCCCCTACCCGCCATTCATGCGTGCACTTGCTTGCTCTCTCTTTCAAATAAATAAATCTTAAAAAAAAAAAAAAAGGTAATTACTGAGAGATTTACACCATAATTATTTATAGCACTGTGAATATGTAGGCTTCAGTTATAGTTCTACCAATAATTTAATTTTCTGATCAAGGAATTTTTTTAAAGATTTTATTTATTCATTTGTCAGAGAGAGAGATCACAAGTAGGCAGAGAGGCAGGCAGAGAGAGGGGAGGCAGGCTTCCCGCTGAGAAGAGAGCCTGACGCAGGGCTCCATCCCAAGACCCGGAGACCACAACCCAAGCCGAAGGCAGAGGCTTAACCCACTGAGCCACCCAGGCGCCCCAAGGAATTTTTTTTTTAACCAATCTCTCTGCATCTCATTTTTCTTATCTGTAAAATGTAAAATATGAGGAGAAAATTAGATAATCTCTGGAGTTTGATCAGCTCTAAATTTATAGTTTTCCAATGTATTTAAATTTTACTGTTTTTTTAATGGGATCAGGAAAGTCAGCAGTGTGCCAGGAGGTAGCTAATGTTACTTGGTGGAAAAATGTTCCTAAGTCATCCTTTACCTATTGCCATCTCATTAATTCTGAAAGGAATTAGGTTTCTAAATGGTGGGGGAGACTCTATTACTGGAGGTTACTATATTAATGGAGGCATAAATTCAAATTTATGTACATTTATATATTTATTATTATATTGTCAAAATATAATTTAATGCAGTACTTATCACATACTTAATAAAAAATAGCTGATGTTAACATTGTTATTAATATTAGTACTCATGATGGTGATGGTGATGGTAAATACCACTATTAAATGCAGTAAAATACTGCTATCTTATTTAAATTTTCAAAAAATATTTAAAGAAAATATGCCAATAGTATTAATTCTAGTAATTCAAATATTTAAAATATATATTCCTGAAATTTTATCTTAGCAGAATTTGATAATAGATTTATGAAGAGATATTTCCTCAGAAAATAAGATCTTGCCTTTTGAACAAATACTTTTGATTTTGGGAATGGATCTGCCAGGCTTCAGAGACATGTGAGTTGTTATGATGAACAATGAGCCTTCATACCCCTGGGCGCTTTCAAAATTTGGACAAAGCTGCTGTGCTCTGAAGATTCTTTTAGCACTTATTTGGGTCAGTAAATGTTATTATATGCTCATAAAGCCCTTTCTTTAGCCAGTTCTCTAACTTGCAGCCTGATTTTAAAGAACGCAAAAATAAACATTAAAGAATGAGGTAGAAAAATACAATAATAAACACTAATAAATGCTAATAGACCAAAGTATTCATCTGTGTGTTTATATGAGCAAATGAGAGAGAAAATTATATTTACCTAAGTGATTTTGTTGATGTTGAAGTAAGTTTGATTTTTCCATGAAGCAATTTATTTTTCATAAAAGAAGGAAAATTAGATCATACCTTTTAGCTATATGGTTCTCACGTTCATCAGTCAAAAATTTAAACCATTTTCTCAGGAAATGTAAAGGTTTTTAAGATACTAAATTTTTGAAGCATAAGAAACTAGGTAAAATACTCTTAACTTTTCCTTTAAGAAATGGTTAGTTGCTAGGAGACCGCAAATAGGAGCTAATGATTCCAAGTTTCAGGCAGCTCTCAAGTAGGCTTGTATCTCTTTTAGAAAAGACGTTTACTCCTGTTCACACCAGCCTGTGCCACTAATAATTAAATGCCTGATGGTTCTGTTCTCACAGCATTTTAAATTTTGTTGAGGAAAATAGAAATAATTGGAGGGTAGAAGAAAATAGTATGTTAGAAAGCATCAGATTAATTTACTTATCCCAACATTTGTTAAATAAATGCCTTTTAGGTGTTGGGCCTGTCGTTTCACTCCAGGGAAGCCACATTAAATAAGATGTTGTCTCTGCCTTTTAGGAGTTCCCTCTCTGTTTGGGGGAAGAAATAGCTAAACAATTAATTACAGTGCAAAATCACAAGTATAGGATCGTAGAAAGTACTCAGTATATGGTAAATGAATGAATGATTAATAACTGGATGTTTACAGTGCTATGTAGAAAGTCTGCAAAGGTAAAGGAGAAGGAATGACATTCTTCAGCAGTAGTTTAGAGTTGTTGATCTTTGAACTATAAATTGAAGAGTGAGTAATAGGGCTAAAGAGTGTGAAGGTTGAGAAGGCAGCCCAAAACATTCCAAGTAGAGAAGACAACTGATGCTAATTATATACATATAATCAACACTTGGTATTTTTTTTTTTTTAAATCAACACTTGCTATTTAAGCATTCCTGTCACCTTGGCCTTTTTCCCTACACTTAGCAGTTTTTTTTTTTGTTTGTTTGTTTTGTTTTTTTTAAGATTCTATTTATTTGACAGAAAGACAGAAAGAGACACAGTGAGAGAGGGAACACAAGCAGGGGGAGTGGGAGAGGAAGAAGCAGGCTTCCCGCTAAGCAGAGAGTCTGATGCAGGGCTCGATCCCAGGACCCTGGGATCAGGACCTGAGCCGAAGGCAGATACTTAACGACTGAGCCACCCAGGTGCCCCTTCACTTAGCAGTCTTGTCCAAAATCAGTTCCCTTGATAATAGCAAACATGTATGTAATGGTTAATGTGCCAGACTAAGTACTTTACAAATAATAACACATTTAACTTACAATCACAGTGTAAGGGAAGTACTATTGTTATCCTCAGTGAGGTTCAGTAGCTTGTTCAAGGTTATACAGATAACAAGCAGGGAAACCTGGTTTCAAATTCAGGTATCATATATAGCTCACTCTTAAACTAATTTCTGTAACACCACATTGCTGTTTGTATTTTCCCAACAAAGATATATTTACACCCTCCTCCTCCTGATATATCATTTCCTTTCAGAATCAATCTTATCAGCCTTAAAGACTGAGATGCAATATTGGAATAATAGTGTAGAAGTAGCAATAGTTGGTAAGTGGTCTGGCTATATGCTTATTTTACTTCAAGGGATAAGAATGGTAGCTTATTGGATGTGGTGTCATTAAGTTTATTTCACAGTGATGAGGAGCAGTGTTGAATGCCCAGCAGAGATGAAAATACATTCAGGGTTACATTGGTTTGCTAGGGCTGCCTTAATAAAAGACCACAGCCTAGGTGGCTTAAATGACAGAAATCTTTTTTCTCACCATTCTTGGGGCTAGAAGTCTAAGGTCAGGGTGTTGGCAGGTATAGTTTTTCATGAGGCCTCTCTCGGCTTGCAGATGGTTGCCTTCTAGCTGTGTCCTTCCATGGTCTTTTCTTTTTGTGTGAACATTCCAGGTTTCTCTCTCCTTCTAAGTATAGCAATGATACTGGGAATAGGGCCCACTCAGATAACATCAGTAAACCTTAATTACCTCTTAAAGACCCTGTCTCTAAATACAGTCATATTCTGTGGTATATTGGGGGCTAGGACTTTATTTTATTAGTTTTTGAGGGACACAGTTCTGTGTTTAACTAGGAGTTTCTTAACCATAAAAAGGGCAATCAGTTGTACACAGTTACTCTGGGAAAGATTGTGAATCAATTTAATGAAAATGAGAGCTAGCAAAAAGATATCGACAGAGTATTGATTCTGAATACTGACATCAGTAGGATAAAGGAGGCCATAGATTAAGAAATTGGAAGCACATTTTAATGATGTCTAGGAAGGAAGGACACGACAGTAATGTGCTAGCTTTGTTGCCCTAATCAGCCTTCTTAATTATAAGCAGAAAGTTAATCTTCAGGGCTCTGAATAGCTTACATCTTCGTTGTGTACCTGCCACTGAGAAAGTCTAAATTAATAGGGGAGTAAGCAGTAGTGGGGATGTGGCAGATGAAGGTTCTTAGAGCATCTCTTTTTGAGATAATTTGCAAAGTTAAAATGTTTTTTTTTTTTCTTTTTTTGTTTTTTGTTTTTTACAAATGAAGGGGTATTATTAACTTAAAGATGTTATTTTTCTGTAATTCCAAAAACTGTACTCTTTTATAATGGTCAGTGTAGTGAATATAACTCCTCAGGTACTCAAAGTGTTAGTGATTTCTTCCTTATTTGGATCATATTTTTCTATTCTACATGTTTAGCAATTTTTTATTATATACTGGACATTGTGGTTTTTATGTTGTTGAGAATCTGGAATCTGTTGTCTTCCTTTAAAAATTCTTGAGTTTTGTTCCAGCCGGTAGTTAATTTACTGGCAAATAACCTTGATCCTTTTTTTTCCCCCAAGCTCAATTGGGATGCATTTAGACCTTTTAGAGGTATCACCTGCATGCTTAGCATTTTCAGTGTGGTATTTTAGTCCACCAGCCGGATGTTCTGCATCTCCTAGTATATGTAATATTTGGTATTTCTATTCAGCTCACCACTCTGACTCCTTAGGAGCTGTTTTCTGCTGGGCCTTACGGTCTTGTTCTGTGCATGTGCAGCTTGTTATTCATCTAAAAACTTAAGATCATCCCTTTTGGGCTCATTTTTGTGTGCAGTTATCTCTTTGCCAGTACCGTATCTTACAGAATCCAACTATGTCAATATCACCAAAGTCTAAGGTCTGCTTCTTCAGTTAAGTGAAATCATTGTGTTCTCCTCAGGCTCCATCTATCTGCCTGTACTGAGGTCCAGAGAATGCCACCAATCAGGAAGAGTGATCCCGAGCTCACCTGTTGCATTTCCTTTCTTTCTGGAGACATAGTCTTATACTGACTACTGTCCAGTGTTGCAAACCAGTAAATTCTTCTTGAGAAATTAAAAACATCTTTAACATGAGTTCTGATAAAATTAAATTCAGCTTATAGAAGTTGTTTTTTGCTGAGGTCAGTGTTATATATTCATACTAACATTACTACTGTTTTGAAGAAG